ACACCAAACCCATCCCAACACCAAACCCAGCCCTTCCCAGTTAATCCAACTGCCACCAAACCCAACCCAAACTCACAGCTTGGGTCTGTGGAACATCAGCCACTGACGTGAAACAGGGCAGGGCTGCACCACGAGACCCTTCTGGGGTCAGCTCCCACAGCCATCACTGCACCATCTCTTTTTTTTGATTGACCAGGGGCCTCGGGAGAGGCTCTGCCCACTGGCAGTGTCACCACCCAGCTTTCTTTTCATTTTTACTGATGAGTTTAATATTAACCATCAAATGCTATGTCAGGCTGGTTTAAAAAAATATTTCCTACCTTTAATTTCTCTTGGAATAAACCAGTGTTTACTACAGTATTAAAGCTGGCCCAAAATGGGAACATTTAGTAAGCGTTCCAGACAAGTTTTTCTTTTTGGAAAATTTTAATTAAAAAAAAAATATTCCACTGGCTCTCCTGTAAGAGCAATAACTTCTGCCTCGGTTTGATTTCCTTTCCTCCAGGAGACATCTCGTAAATACATGTGTGTGGGACTTTTGTTCCCAGAAACTCTCTAGGTAGCACATCCAAGAGCTCCCAAGTGCCTCTGAGAAGGAATTTACTCTGGTCTCAGAGTAACTGGAGCATCCGAGGAGCCGAAGGGGGACCCTGCATGGAAAGGTTTTGTGGGGACAGGGCGGGAGCAGCCTGGTGCTGCTGCCCACACAGCATTGCTAAGCAGGTCCCCAAACACCCTGTCCCCAAATAATGCCCAAATAACGGGGGCTCTTGGCAGGTTTGCAGTTCCCATTCCTCCCCAGCACCCCAGGAAGGCAGGAGGGAGCACAGGACAGTCACAAACACAAACGGCGCTGACAGAGGAAGTATTAAGGGTTTTTTAAATCCTTTCCATCAGCCCTCCCCAGCCCTGTCCCAGCCCCAGGAGGGGCTCTCACACGGCCCCAGAGCGATGCTGGGGCTGGATAAAGCCTGGCCTCAGCCTAAGCCAAGGCTGGATGCAGCCCAGCCCCTTCTGATGCCAGGGCTGGATAAAGCCTGGCCTCATCCTGGCCTCAGGAAAGCCAAGAAATAGCACAAAAGTTGGCTATAAAATCCATGGATGGAGATGAACCAGCAGCGTGCTGGGGGAACTCCGGATTTTATCCCTACAAACCCTGGCCCTCTGCACCCAACAGCTCAGAGCAGTGTGGGGACCTCACCCCTGCCCAAACCACACCAGCCTGTGAGGGGGCCAGTGCTCCCCAAGGGGTCAGAGTGCTGTGGAGAGGGGGTGATCCCATGGGAATGAGCTGTGCCACCCACCCTGGAAAGAAGGAAGAAAAGTTATTGCCTTTTTCCTCTTTTTTTTCCCCAAGACAAAAGCCCAGGAAGTTTAATTACTGAGGACAAAAACGTGAAGAGGGCTGAAATTTCAGCTCCCTTCTCTCTAAATGACACCAGGGAGGGAAGGAAGCAGCAGCTCCAGGCTGGGGGTCGGGGGCTTTGGAGCCTCTTGGTGACCAGCTTCACATGTCCTTTGCTTCTCTCCTTACAGCTCTTCTAAAAATATCAAATATAGATCTTTTCCTCATAATATTTTAAGATACTCTATTTATACATTAATCCTTTCAAAAATAAAAAGTGACACATAGAGCAATTCAGTCACTCAGAGTCTTTAAAACTGTTACAAAAAGCCACGACATCCATCCCCAGCGCCACGGCCTGGGGGCTGAGACTTTCTTTTTATAAAATATGATTCCAGCTCTCAAAATCCCGGCTCTGCAGCCAAACAGGGTTGTCTTCAGAACAGGCTGGAAGCACGAGGGCTCTGCCTGCCCTGCCCAGCCCTGTGGCGTGTCCATGGAGGCAGGAGCAGGGCTGGGCAGCCCGAGCGCTCCTCCCTGGCTCTCCACAGCCCCGTCCTGGCCACACCGACAGCGAACGGCCCTCGAGGATGGAAATAATTCACCTGGCACAACCAGCACTGCACAGACGTGGCACGGACGAGGCTGCAAGCAAGGGGAGGCCTGGGGAACAAGGCTGGAGAGAGGCAGAGGCAGCTCCAGCAGGGCCTGGGCGCTGGTGGGAGCACGGATGTGTCTGTGTCTGTACAGTGGGATTTGGGAAGGGCAGGTACCACACAGCCAAACAACAGCACTGGGGTTTGCCGGGGGCTGCAGCAGGAGGGCAGCACGGGCTGCTCACCTCCACACAGCGGGGGCTGCCCGCAAAACCCAAATCCTGGAAATAAAAAAGAAGAGTCTGCGAGGTCTGGTCCAAAGCATCCTCTCTCCACGGAGCAGGTGCCCGCTGAGCCCCGGGCCCTGCAGAGCCCAGCCGGGGCTCGCTCTCGCCCGCAAGAGCCGGCGCTGCGGTGCCACGGGGAGGGGACAGCGGCCAGGGCCACCACGGGGCTCAGCCCCCAGCCCTTGCCCTGCCCCAGGCCTCGGGGTGCTCCCTGGCAGCACCGAGAGCTGCGCTGGGGCAGGGGAGCGCAGGGAGCACAGCACTCTCCTGGGTGGGACCCTGCTGGCCTGGGCTCCGTGCCAGCCGGGAATGTCCCCCTGCAGGGAACCCCCCGGGCACTCCCAGCCTTCAGCTCGGCCCCTCGGAGCACTTGGCTGTCCCTTGGCTGGTTTTCCATCGCTGGGATGTGGGCTGGAAGCACCCCCACCTCGGGGCTGGGGGAGTCTCTCGTGTCCCCAGGAGCATCCCCCGCAGCCCAGCAGGAGGAGAGGCACAAACGTCCAGCAGCGGGCACAGGGGTGTCCCCAGCCCGGTCACACGGTGGCAGAGGGCACAGGGGCCTGCAGGACTGGCCATGGATACCATGGAATGCTCAGCAGTGGCTCTGTGCACCCCCCAGTCATAGGAACTCCACGTAGTTCTCGGGGATCAGTCCTGTCTTGCCGTTGAGGGTCCCCTCCAGCCAGCCGGGCTCCTGGGATGGGTGAACTGCAGAGACAGAAGGGCAGGTCACACCTTAACCTGGGCTCATTTTTAAGAAAGGAAACTAACAGAGTTAAAGGTGATCTTCAAGGTCCCTTCTGAGCCAAACCATTCCATGATTCTGTGGACACACAAGGGGCTCAGGCTCTGTCCCTGCCTGCTCCCCGTGGCACTCCTTGGCCTTTCCTTCCCCAACTGAGCTGCAGGCTCCAAATACTCCCTGGGGCTGCTGGGCTGAGGGAAGTGAAGCATTTGGGATACAAACAGGGGCTCAAAACTTCCTCTGGATTTGAGCTAAGATTTCTTGGAGTTGGAGAGAGCATGGTTAGCTCCATCACAGGGAAACACTGCACATCCCGCCTTGGCCTGGGCCCAGGCTGGGAGGGAAATTGCATTAGGGAACAATCCCAGCGGGAAAGCAAACCCTGCAACCTGACTGTGTGCAACCAGAAACCTGATCAGTCCTCAAAAGCCTTTCTTTATTCAATCAGCTCCCAAAAAATTTGCTGATTTTGCAGGAGGCAGGCCAGGGTTACGCCTGCAGGCAGAGGAACATCCCCCCTCCCACAAGGATGGCGGGAAGCTCCAGAGCTCCTGCAGCTCCCAGGGCTCCTGTGGCTCTGCAGGTCTGGCCTCAGCCCCTCACTCGTGTCTGGTCAGTGGAACTCAAGGTGCCACTGTGCCCACGTGGGTGCTGCTCCCAGCGGGCAGCAGCAGCCCCAAACCCCAGCTGGATCAGCCACGTGCAGCCTCACAGAAACTCAAACCTGGCTCCAAGTATTGCCAAGACCCCTTTGCTTCGCTGGGGTTTGTAAAGGCCCTCGATCACAGCAAGGCTCCCCAAGCCAGGCTGGTCCTGCCTCACATCCCCCAGCCAACGTGAACCCCGGCTGTGCTGCCGAGTGACTGGAACACGCTGTGTACTTTTTCCCTTGAATAATCCATTGATTTTTATCAGCAAACATAATGTATTTAATTCAAACTTGTTCCCCTCCTGGCTGCTCTGATTCCCACGGGCCCTCAGAGGGGAGACCATGTTTATTTATAAGATGACTATGGAGCTGCTTCGGAGAAGGATTGTCTTTAATTCACATGTATTCATTCTCCTCCCCTTTCTGCTGTATTCGCCTCTATATCCCAGGGCAAAAACAGTGCATGTGGTAGCAGCTTCCCAAATGACAATGCTTAACATTTAAAAGCCAAGAATGACTTGGAAAGTAGTAAAAAGTCTTTTCCTTACACTGGGATTATGACTAAGCCAGAGCTGCTCAGCTCCGTGGGGCACAAACTCCTGGGGCAGGAAACACCAAACCCGTGCTCGTTAGCGTGGTCTGAGCCAGCAAAGCCCACCTGCTGCAGCTCTCAGATCCACAGGGAAAAAGCACACGTGGCTTTCCCACCTCCTGCACAAACCACTGCAGCAGCTCCCCGGAGCATTGCTGGTGCTGCTGTCCGGGATCAGATCCTGCACAGAACAGCTCCGGGAACGGCCAGTGCTGGGCAGGCACCTCAGCAGGGCCTGCCCTGGGCTCACAGGAGGGGACAGGGACAGGGACAGGGACAGGGACAGGGACAGGCTGCAGCACGCGGGCCCTGGCTGGGGAGCAGCACTCACCGTTGTCGAACACGGTGCCGGCCGTGAAGGAGAGCTCGGAGTCGTGCTCGGCTTTGCAGGCGTAGAGAGCGCGGGCCTTGCGCAGAGGGGAGCTGCAAGAGAGGGCACGGGCACCGTGGGCACGGGGACACACACCAGCGTGGGCATGGGCACCGTGGGCACAAGGACACACACAGCGTGGGCACAGGGCACCGTGGGCATGGGGACACACATAGCGTGGGCACAGGGCACTGTGGGCACAGGGACACACACAGCGTGGGCACAGGGCACTGTGAGCACAGGGACGCACACAGCGTGGGCACAGGGACACACACACACCATGGGCACAGGGACACACACACCGCGGGCACAGGGACACACACACTGTGGGCACAGGGACACACACACCACGGGCACAGGGACACACACACCGTGGGCAGGGGACACGGGCACCGTGGGCACAGGGACAGCCATCACAGCCCTCACAGTGCCACTCTGCTGGGCTGCTGCTCTGCTGGCACCTCAGCTCCCCTGCCCCGAGGGAGGGAGACCAGCAGAGGCTGAAGGCTCTCAGGGATGAGCCACGTTTCACCCCAGTGCAAATCCCAGTTGGAGCCCAGCTGGACTGGAGCCCACACTGGTGCCCAAACAGCACCAGCCCAAGCCAGGGGTCCCCTCATCTCCTCTAGGCTGGAATGTTCTGTATCTGGAGTGCCACCACTGACCAGAGGCTGGCACAGAGCAAAGGTGGCAGCAGGTGCTGGCAGTGACCCTCTGCCCTGGCCCCTCTGCCAAACCCATCCAAGTGCAGCTGCAACCACAAGGAGAATTTCACAAGGAAGAATCAGCACTTGGGGAAGGTTATTTCTAAACAGAAAGACAAGCAGGTCCGTGAAGAATTTGCTGCACTTCTTTAGAGCCTGTACCAGAAGGTAAAAAAGATTTAAAAGCCATTAGATTTTGCTGGAAGTGTCAGCGTGCCCACGCTGCAGGGGAGGGAATTGGAGCAGGGAGAGGCAGGAATGGAGCAAACTGCTGGCAGAGAGCAGAAAATGAGGGACCTCAGGATCTTCAGGCACAGCACAGGCACACAGAGCTGCCCCTGCACCTGGAATCCCCAGCCATCCTCCCCAGCTTTGGGCTGGAGCAGGGCTGGTGGAAAGCTGGGACACTGCCAGGCTGCAGTGACAGTGACAGTGACAGTGCCAGCCCAGCCAGACCCTGGCCATTCGAGCAGCCAGACACACCCAGCACTGCTGCTCAGCTGTGACATGGCCAAGGGAAGTGATGAGTGCCCCTGGAAGCTGCTGGGGTGGGGAACAAGGTGTCACCGTTCTCAGATCAGTGGTTTTACCAATTTTTATCTTTCTGAGGATTTGAAGTTCCCCTGAGTTCCTTGGGTGAGCCCAGGGAAGCAGCAAGGCTTCATGGCAAGAGTAGCTCCCCTTCACACCAGACCCCAGGCTCAGGAGCTGGGAATGGCTTTGGCTTTGCTGCAAAGAGAGCCCCAAAATGAGATCTCTCTTCTCCAAATTCCAGCTCCCTGACACCAGCAGCTCCCAAACACTTAAAAACCAGGATGGGCAAACAATCCTCCCACTCCAGAGGGTCCTTCACTGCCGGGAGGCACCGCTCATGTGGAGTGCTTGAGACCATCAGGTGGAAAACAGAAGGAATTTCCAGGCCCACGGTGCACTCGGGGCACGATGGCATCGCTGGTGCCAAGGGCACGGGACCCCGGGCAGTGCCTGCTCTGTGCCAGGCACCCCAGGGCACAGAGGGACCCCACGGGGCTGGCACACAGCTCAGCCTCACCCACTGCTCCCAGACTTGCTGGGAATCCTGTCCTGGTTCATCTGCAGCTTCCAGGAAGGGTTTGCCCCAGCAATGCCCAAGGACCTTTAGCCTGGGAGCAGCCCGTGCTACCCCGTGCCCGTCACCCTCCTGGGATCCCAGACGAGGCCGTGGCCAGAAAACCAGGGCTGGCAGAGCTTTCCAGAGGCCCTTTACTCCTTGCAGTACTCTTCTTACCTGTTGCAGAGCAAAGCCAGCGCAGCACTGAGCTGAGCTGAGCCCAGCAGTGACACCGAGCACAGCTCCTGCTCCCCTCACCTGGGGCTGCAGGTGTCCCAAGGGGCTCTCCCGGGGCAGGGGGCTTTGGAAGCTCCCCTCTTGCTGAGTGCAGGCAGCTGCGTTGGGAGGGTTCAAGCAGGATGCCGAGGGAAAGGGAAGTGAAGTGGGGGGGAAACTGGGGAAATTCAACAGAAATAGCAAAAGCAACAGAAAGCCAAGCGAATTGTGCAACAGACCTGATGGGGGATGAGTCGCTGGACGTAGAGGAGGTGGGCATAGGACTTGATGGCGCAGAGAACATGGGCCAGGACGGTGACAGGGGTGACGTTGGGCTTGGATTCTGAGGGCTGCAAGACATAACCAGAGACCTTATCAACGTGCAAGCACAGCAACAAACAGCAACCCAGAGACACACAGACGGCAGCCGACGACAGCGAGCGCCTTGGGAATATCCCGAGCGTGAGACACAGCTACAGAATGGAGTGCCAAGACCTTGGGAAGTGTTTCAAGGCTGGGTCTGCGTTTGTCTGGACAACAAGAGCTGGATCTTCCAGTTAAACCCCACTGCATTGCCCCGAGCTGGCACCCTGTGCCACTTACCTGCCTGTGCTTCCCCAGAGCTCCCAGAAAGAGCTGCTGGAATTCTGCATCTTAATGGTGCCTGCGAGCAGCCTCCACCCCCTCTGTCTGTCACTTGTGGTGCTCATACACTCAGTGTATAAAAATGTCATTGATTTTGTTTTCCATGTTTTACTTCCCTTTTCCCCCCTCGTGCTGATTCCTGAAGCCACAGCTGACAACTGGAGCTGAATCGAGTTACTGACCTGGTAATTGCAGAGAAGTTTTTGGGTCCTTCCAGACTCTTTGATTCAGGTCATTCTCAAGTTCACCAAAAAGCAATTATTGTACCAAAATACCAGTTTGATTAATTTACTGCTTCTCTGCTTAGCACTCATTGGTATTCCCTATCCAATTCACATTAGAAACTCCATCCCTGACAAAACACCAGAAATCTCTCTCCACACTGCAAATGCCTCTGTAAAAACAAGAAGTTTTGTAAAAGCATCGTTTTGTAAAAGATCAGTACCACTGATCACACAGGTCTGTGATGAGGTGGGGACAGGGCACAACCCCCAGGATGTCCCTCTCCCTCAGCTGGGGCCTCCTGGGGTAGAGGGAAGGGATTCAGGGAATGGTGGCTCCAGAACACCAGCCCTCAGCCCTGCAGGAGCTCAGAACAAGGTTTAACCTTCCCAGTGTCCTCTGGCTGCCACCACGGGGGGATATTTATGACATGGATGCTTTCCCCTTGGAAATTGGACCATCTCTGCTTAGGGCCAAACTCTTGGCTGGACTCCTTGCAGAAGCTGTGTCACTGGATTCAACAGACACTGATTAATTCCCTCTGAAATTACAGGCAACACCTTTATTGTGTCAGAAGATTACACACACAGAGAAATGGATACAGCAGTGAGTGCAGCATGACTTCACCAGAGGCTGGAAAACAGGGAATGCTGTCAGGCAGGCATTCAAGATCCTCAGAATGTTCTGCTAATAATCATCACTATGTAAAAACAATCCTTTAGCATTTCTATCACCAAAACTGTCCACCTTTTGAAAAATGAGTTTTCCTTGGTCTTTACCAAACCTGACAACCATTGGTACTTACCAGATACTCCTTCTATTCCCACCCCAAACAGGAGGTGCTACCAAGGTCACCAAGTCATCCCAAACTGCCAAAATTAACCCTTTAAGCACCAGTTCTTTCAAAGAGATGGCCTAGCAATTCCCTTCTCCAAGAGGAGCCTGGCCAAGGTGGGACTTGGAGGGGCACTGACCTGGTGACCAAAATGTGGCTGAGCCTGTCCTGCTGAGAGTGGCCACCAACACCCACCAGCCCTCCCAGCACTCGGCTGCAGGCTCGAGGTAAAAGAGGCCATGGCACTGGTGTGCCAGCCTGGGATGGGCACTGGGACATGGCACTGGTGTGCCAGTGTGGGATGGGCACTGGGACATGGCACTGGTGTGCCAGCCTGGGATGGGCACTGGGACATGGCACTGCTGTGCCAGCATGGGATGGGCACTGGGACATGGCACTGGTGTGCCAGTGTGGGATGGGCACTGGGACATGGCACTGGGACATGGCACTGGTGTGCCAGCCTGGGATGGGCACTGGGACATGGCACTGCTGTGCCAGTGTGGGATGGGCACTGCGACATGGCACTGGGACATGGCACTGGTGTGCCAGCCTGGGATGGGCACTGGGACATGGCACTGCTGTGCCAGTGTGGGATGGGCACTGCGACATGGCACTGGGACATGGCACTGGTGTGCCAGCCTGGGATGGGCACTGGGACATGGCACTGGTGTGCCAGCCTGGGATGGGCACTGGGACATGGCACTGGTGTGCCAGCATGGGATGGGCACTGGGACATGGCATTGGTGTGCCAGCCTGGGATGGGCACTGGGACATGGCACTGATGTGCCAGTGTGGGGTGGGCACTGGGGAAGGGCACTAGGCCATGGCACTGGTGTGCCAGCCTGGGATGGGCACTGGGACATGGCACTGGTGTGCCAGTGTGGGATGGGCACTGGGACATGGCACTGGTGTGCCAGCCTGGGATGGGCACTGGGACATGGCACTGCTGTGCCAGTGTGGGATGGGCACTGCGACATGGCACTGGGACATGGCACTGGTGTGCCAGCATGGGATGGGCACTGTGACATGGCACTGCTGTGCCAGCCTGGGATGGGCACTGGGACATGGCACTGGTGTGCCAGCATGGGATGGGCACTGGGACATGGCATTGGTGTGCCAGCCTGGGATGGGCACTGGGACATGGCACTGCTGTGCCAGCCTGGGATGGGCACTGGGACATGGCACTGGTGTGCCAGCATGGGATGGGCACTGGGACATGGCACTGGTGTGCCAGCCTGGGATGGGCACTGGGACATGGCACTGGTGTGCCAGCATGGGATGGGCACTGGGACATGGCACTGGTGTGCCAGCATGGTATGGGCACTGGGACATGGTACTGGTGTGCCAGCATGGGATGGCCACCATGTCTGCCACCAGCCCTGGTCCTCTCCAGTGCACAAAGGAAGGAAAATCCAGTGACACAGGGCTCCAGGACTGGAAATTGCTACTGCATTTTCTGAGATGAAGTCATGGCAGAAGAATGCAGCTCTCATTTCTCCTCAAGGCGCTGTCATTGCTCCAGAACCGCGCGCCCGCTCCGCTCCTGACAGCGGGGAATGCCACCAGCAGGATCTCAGAGTTACCAGGGAAAAAAGCCTGAAAGAACCAACACTCGGGCCAGCCTCTGCCTAAGAAGTCACCCCTAATTTGGAGCAGGGTTTTGGTGCCTTTGGATCCTTGGTGTCACACTCTGTGCCCAGCGAACGCACGGAGAGAGCGGGTCACTGATTGCAGCGTGTGCACTGGGGTGTGCAGAGCACCCCGTGCCCCTCAGGTGCTCACAGAGGAGATGAACACGGTCCTACGGTGACTGAGCTGCTCTGCAAGTCCTTCCAGAACACTTCCTCAAGAAGAGCCCATGGACAGCTCAGGACTCACCTGAGCTGCTCCCCAGCACCGACAGACCCTGGGGTATGATGGGTATGAAGGGCTCTCCTCCCTCCCATGAAATACAGGTATTTATTTCCAAGTGCTGCTTGAGTTTCACCTTCCTGAGCTTATGTGACTGCCAGACCCAAGTCCTGCCTCGCTGGAGATGTCAGTGCACATGAGGGAACGGGCTATCCCGAGGTCTCTGGTGTTTTGAGAACAGTTTTCTTGTAGGATCCAATTTCCTTTGTTTCTCACAAATAGAGCAGAGATGGTGAGAGGCTGCGGGGAAGTTCTGGCAGCTGCCTGCAGGCAGCAAATGTCAGCTGGACTTTTTTTCCTTCTTCTTACTCAGGAGGGCTTTGCGAGGGGCTCTTCCTGTTGGGTGCACAGTGGAAACAAAACAGAGAAAAGTGCTAAGAACCAAAACCATCAGAAGCAGGAAACAAAGAAGTGGCTCAAATTAGAGTCTTCCAAGGTGAGAATGGACCTTTCCCCAGCAGAAGCAGCTGGGGGAACTCCACAAGTCCGTAGCCCAAGGCATCCTGAGGCTCTTGCCCTTCCTGCTGGTCCGACTGCGCCTCGGAGGCAGTGGCTGTGATCCCACAGGGAGGGAGCACTGCTGGGCACGGGCACTGAGCCACAGCACCTGCAGGGGCACCTGCACCTTCCACTCCATGTGTCCCTCTGGCAATCCCACTCTTCCAGCCAACACAGTACTTGGAAATAAACTGAGGAGCTAAATCCTCCTCCCTGCTTCCCGAGCTGGCCGTACACGCTGCCTTTCCCATGCAGATGTTTAGTTTGCTGCCCAAACACGTGAAAAAAAAAAGCAGCAACTCTTGTTTCAAGACTCTGCTGGAGTTGCTGGAGATAAAAAAAAAATTTTTTTTGTGCTCCCTTCTCCTAACCTGCCTCTTTCATTCCTGCTCCTCCACCTGGCTGCCTGGGCGCTCCTCAGCGGCTCAGACCCCCGGGCATGTGCAGCTCTCAGAGCCCCTCGCAGCAGGGCTCCACACAACTCCTGCTGCTTTGATCTCCTGGCCGAGAGGACATCGGTTCCACTTCAAACATGTTTACGACTTGTTTATTTTTGTGGGACTCGGGGCTATTTCTGCCACAGAACACCTCAGAGCTACGGACGGGCAGAGCCCACGGATGCATTCCAGCCCTTTCATGAAATCACCTCAAGAATAAACAACAATATTCCCGTTCTGACATGATCAGTACCTGACTGCAGAAAAATACATCAAGGACCACCCAGCCCTTTGCTCCCTGATCTATTCCCATAGAACAAAGCTGCAGAACATAAGGTTCTCCTCAAAGGTAACAAGAAAAAAGAAAATTACAGCTTTATGTAATGCCAGAGCACTTCAGCTCTGCTGAAACAAGGACAAGACTGCAGCTCACCAGCAGCCATGGCTCTGTTGCCTAAATGAAATGGGAGGCAGCCTGGGTTTGGGAAGCTCATGGAGCTTGAGCAGTGCAGCAGGTCCTAGCAAAGCTTGCAGTGATGGACAGGCTCTAGGAAGCAGCTCCTGGGCACTGGCAGCACCACCCCAGACCTGACCACCAGCTCACAGGGCTCTTCCTGCTTGGTACTTTAATGCAAGAAAAATGATGTTAAACTCTCTGCAGTGTTAGTCTCTCAGGAGTAATGTTGCTGCATGCTTGTTTGGGTGGAAAAAAATTAAAGAAATTTAAAGAAATAAGCAGCTGGAATGGCCTGTGGTCAGCATCACTTGACCAAACTGGTCCAAAACATCTCAAATTCTTCAG